CAAATACTATTTATTTTGATATTGAAAAGTATAGATTGTATAGAACAATTAAATATTCTTATTTATACTCTAAGCGCATTCATTTGTTCAAATTAAATTGTAAATTTTATTACAATAAATTAAGATAAACTAAGCAAATTATTAAAAAAAAAAGTAGAAGTAAACATTACTACTACCAAATTTGTATCACGTATCATTGCAAAATGTAGCCAAAATATAAAAAAAGTAAGCGAATTAGTGTGTACTGTACTATAGTTAAACGAAACCATGTGATGATAATCATCACCTGTCATAAAATACCAAGACTAAAAATTTAATCTAGTTTTTATTAAATAATATGTGACATTTAGCATCACATAGTTTCATCTAACAACTATACTGTGTACTCTACTCTAAACATATATTTACTAAAAACTTTACTTTTAGCATTCCAAAGAACAAAATGTTATTATTGTAGAGAGAAGGGACATAAGTGGATCAACTGTTTTTATATTAGCTGTAATAGTGGTAGTAATTGTGTTATTAAAGGACAAAACTGGAAATTTGTGGGTAGAAGAACGTGCAGAGGATTATCATGTCCATAATTATTGCACTCATTGCAAGTTATCATTATTAAATGGAAGATGTACTAGTTGTTACTGTGTAATTGATTAATAATTAAATTTGATGTTTTTTTCTTGAGAAAAATTTGGATTGCAAATATACTGTACTTAAAATTTTTTAACTACCATTAAAAGTATATGCGGGTATAAACGTAACCATTTAATTGTTTACCCATTTTTACCATTTAATTCAGCAGCATTAAAATTGTTTTGACCCATGATAAATTGTTTATTGATAAGTATTACTAATTAAAATTTTATTTTGTGTAAAATTAAATTGAAATATTGTTGAGTGGAAATAGTGGAAATAGAATTAATTTTAATTCAAATATTGTGTCACCAAAAAAAACATACGATCAAATTATTCATTTTGTATTGTCTAAAATAAAAATTACGAAAAATTTTTGTTAATCAGTATTTATTTTATTGTAGGGTAAAAATAAAAATGAACATTAAATTTGATCAAGCTTTTATTTATGTAAATTAAATAGCTAACTCGTTTATTACAAGATATTAAGATGTCTGATTTGTCCCAAAATCCTAACTAGTTTCATAATGACCTACTTAAAACTTTTGTATTGAACGTACTAAAAAATTTCAAAGATGTTAAAATCTGCGGCTTAAATATAGAACAGTATCCATATTAACGCTATAGCAGAGAAATTTTTTCTTTTTATCCAATTATTCGACTGTCCTGTAGACATGCATTTCACTTAACATGCGTTAATTTTAATTTGGACTCACCAATTTGTCCTAAATGTCTAGTTCAAAGTGAAGTGCACGTTGAAGAAATTGAAATAACACCTAAACGTAAGAAAAAAACAAAGCAATTTAAAGATTCTCTAAAATTTAGAACACTTGTTGATGAATTATTGAATGAGGTGGCCGTACAAAACACTGCACAATTTCTTACTGAGTTGTCTAACACTATATTATTTATTGAAGCTCTTTATAAAAATATTTCCATTGCTGAAGAAAAACATAATAAATCAATTCATGAGGTACTTAGGTGTTACTATGATCTTGGAGAGGCTTTATCAAAGTTATATGATAACTTCTATAATGCATCACACGATTGTTTTTCTTCAAAACAACAAGTGATTCAGGAATTTAAGCGACAGCTAAATATTAATACTTTAGATATGGCACTAGTAAAAGAAAAGAATGAAGCAAAAAGATCTATAGTTTTTTTAGTTGTTTTAATATAGGCGAAAATAAATTCAAAGGCAAAGAAATGATAAATCGGATTAAATCTTTTTTTTTGTTAACAATTTCAAGTATGAGTTGGGATAATATTAACATAGTAAAAAAACATATCACTGAAAAACTTAATATATGCAATAGAATAGAATATTAATAGAAAGAAATATATTTATTTTTGATTTATTCATAAATGTTTGTGCAGTAGTACAATATCAGATTTTATGGTGATAGGGTGAAATACCTATTGACATGCATGTCAAATTGTTAATTAAAATTTTTTGACCAATAAAAAAAATTTAGAATCAGCATGGTAAATTGGGGTGTGCGAGAGCTGTTGTGAATATGATGGATTAGTACGGTGGAGCCGTGGTAATACATTGTGTTCATGACACACCGTGAAATATTTTTTATATCTTATGGTTCCTATGCCCGTAATATTTTTGATTAAAATTTTTATTTATTACGTCATGGCTGTAGAAAAATTTTTGATATTTTCACGGCATTACATAATTATAAAAATATCAACAGGAATGTTCACGGAAGAACATTGGGGGCCGTGGGATATAAAGAATTTTTTCATTGCCTGTGACTTTTCCAAAATTTATATAGTAAAAATGCATTTTTTTAAATAGGATATCATATACCCCAATCGTAAATCCCTATATTCTAAGTAAAAAGTTGTGTATAAAACTAAAGCCGCATCATAATTAGGGTCAGGTGAGAACAATGTAGGGTTAGGGTTGTTGGGGTGTTTGGTCGGCTAATTAAATCAAACCTATTTGTAGAACCATAGTAGATTTGTATAGTAGATTTTTTTAAATAATACAATTTGCTGATTTATCATGTATTGTTTAAATAATCTAGTCATCTGTATTCCATTTTAATAGTTATTAATTGCGATGGTGAAGGCCTGAACCAATGGATTTCCTTTAGTATAGGTGGTCAATATAGAAATATTATAAGATTATAAGGGGACATCCATAATTTACGTTAAACTAGTACAATATTGTATAAAAATAAAGACTTTGAAGATAATTCCATATAGTACTATTTTTTATTATCTTTATGGCAACATTATTTGTACCTCCCATTTTTGCTATTCATACCCCACCTATGTAAAAAATGATTTAACTAATTGTCATATGATATAAAAATACAATCATTATTAGTTCTTAATTCAAGATGATGGGCATTGCTATTCATACCTCTCATTTTTGCTATTAGTACCCTCTTTTATGTAAATAACTGATTACTAATTCACATTTTTAGTCACAATATTATTTATATAAAGACTATATATTGTTTTGCACTACAACTATATCATGCGATAATTAGTTAAATAATTTCTTTACATGGGTAGGAGGGTATGAAAAGAGTCAAAAATATTTTTGCTAAAATTAATTTACTTATTTTTGAAAGCCAAAAAACAAAAACACAATCGTATTTTAATACTCTATTTATTAACTATATTCTAAATTAAACTATGGCCATTAAACTCAATTAATGTTTCAATCATCCCGCTATTTTTACTAAACAGTTCGATATATACTTCTACAAAGTTAATATTCTTAGCATAATTAATAAAAATTTCATTATATATGTCAAACAGAATAATTGGAACATTGAAGTATTGTGTTGACATCCAATGATGACCGTCAGATATTGAATTTCTTGAAGGTCTGTTATCGTTTAATTTGTTGAATATTATTAGGGATAAAGGCTCAGTACTTGGTTTTTATATATATATATTACCGGGAGTGAATGCTGATTGTAAAATATTACAACAATAATAAATATGAATATATTTTTATATTTATTAAATTTACTGTATATTTGTTTAGTTGAATTTTTTACTTGTATATTTTTAAAGTAATCATATATTATTATAAGGATATTTTTTTTAATCGGCTGCATGTTAAAACTAATTCTTTTTATTGACAGTCAAAATCGCACAATATAATTTTAAAAATCTTAATTTTTTTTACATTATAGCTATTTTTCTTTCTTATTTATTTTAATTTTTCTTCATACAGGTTTTCATTTTCACTTTCTAAGTCTTTTTCAATTCCTTTTAATATTTTATAAGTACCATTTTTTAGATAACATTTAATTCAGTTTTTAGGTTTAATATTTGGGATTTGTAATTAATTTCATTAGTATGACACATACTTTCCGTATTTTTAATAGTTTGCTCAAGTGCAACTGTAATTGAATTTACCTCTTTATCTAATAGTTTTACTTTTTCGGTAGAATTATCTTTAATGTTAATTAATTCATTTTGTCCTTTAGTATAAAAATTTATTGTTCTCATTAATCTAGCGTTATTATGTTTGTCTTTTAAGTTTTTTTCTTTCGGTTTAAAACAATTTCATATCTCTTCTATTTTATGATTGCTTCTTTCTTCTACAATATTTGGACTTATTTTTTGGATTTGATCATGGTTCTCATTGTATTCTACTTTTATAGAGCTATTTTTTAGATCTTCTATGGATTTAGTTATTTTTTTTTTCATTCTACATTTGCAGCTTTTTTTATATTCTGATTGTTTTCAATAGTTTGTTTTTGTATTTATAAAATATTTTCATTTTTAAAATTATTATTTAAAATTATTATTTAAATTTGCATTCTTAACTCAAAAATTTCGGTCCACAATTCCTCATTTTTATTAGTTAAATTTATTAATTTATTCTGCAATTCTTAATAATTTTTTAGCTCATTTATTTGTGTATCTAGTATTGATATTTAGGACTCATAATTTAATTTCTTAAAAAGGTCCAAATTATCTTTTTTTTTCTTTATCGAATTCCTTTAAAATTTTATTTATATAGTTTGCCTTTGCTTCCAGTATTTCTATTTTTTCTTCATTTTCAGCTGCAACTTCAGCTAATCTATACAGAAATCTAGATACATGGATTCTTAGTCTGAAATTTGCTTGAAAGCACACCTTTTTATGTACAGATTTAATAATTTTAATTAATTAAAATTTATTCTAGATTATACAGTCATAGGTTATTGCAGATAAAAATTTTTGAATAAAAATTTTTACTTAAATTTAAAATTAATAAAAATGAAATTAAAATAATTTTTTTTAATTAATATTACTTTAATTAACTTAACTATATTATACAATAACTTATAACTCAATTAATTTAAAAATATTTTAAAAAAACTTGTTTAGTTTGCATTGTAATGCATACTAATATAAATATATGGGCAAAAGAGATAAATCAACAAAATTTTCAACCTAGTATTTTTTTGCACAAATCAATTTAAAATAAGATTATATTAGTAAAATTTTGTGGAGCAGCTCTTTAAAGTTTGTATTTTCCACAATTGAAATTTTTTAATAATATTCAATTTTTCATATTGCAGTTGCAACTTGCTAAAAATTATAGCATAACGGTTTTATCATTAAAATTAATGCAACATTTTGTTAGTTATAATTTATCCACATAATTAAATTTAATTCAAATAATAGCTAAAATAACAACTAAAATAATTAAGTACAATATTTTTCAATTAAGTTATTAGTACGTTAATAATCCGGAAATTTGCATAATATAAATGAGTTACAAAATAATTATATTCTTTAGTTAAAACCATTTAGTTAAATTATATTGCATTGATAAAGATCCTAAAGTTGTCATAATAGATAAATTGAATGGTTCTAAAGATAAACAATTAGAGATATCACAATTAAAATTATATCTGAAATAAACTTTAGAAGATTTATTCTTTATAATATTTATAATCAATTAGAAATATATTAGTTCATATACATGGTTAGTGTATTATTAATTTTTTTAATTGTACAATAATCATATTTTATATTTTGAACAGTGATGAAATGCCTCTTTGACATTGCAACATTTAACAGTGCTACAATGATAGCGTACAAAAGTTACGTTTTTATGCACTATATTTATTAAAATCAAAAGATTAACTTCAAACATTTGTCACATGTGACGAATAGCTTTAATTTTTTCTAAGTTGAAATTTTCGCAAAAATTATGATTGAGTTTTTCTTTTTTTTTTGGCGGACAAATTCGTGAATTGTGAAAAAATAAAAGAATTTTAGCATTTTATGTATGTAATAATAATCGCCAACTTGGAGCATTCTATATTTCAGAAGAGTAAGAATTGAACTGACCGAATGTTGGTTTTGAATAATTATTCGGTTTTCAAAAATGACTTTGTTATCATCACTTTTAATGGTGGCACTGGGTACAGATAAATATTCCGCATGCTTTGTAGAGGTATATGGCAGAGTTCTTCGATACTTTCGATTGTTAAACTAGGTAACTGTATCACGTGATTTGACAGTCCCGCGGGTCCGTGAAGTCACATTTAAATTTCAGAGTTTCAAACTTAATCGTTATGATTCTTAACTCTCTAATAGAAGAATAATAAAAAATGCGAATTAGACTTTCAAAACTTGATAAGTTTATTCGCTCAAATTATTGAATCAATTTATTCTTTATACTTTGTTAACTAAATAGTTTATTCATACAGTAAATCAAAAAATTAAAATCATGAAGAGGCTATCCTGTAAGAAAAGTGGTACGGGTTGGTTTCGGGAATGTACGGAGTGGCACGTACAGGCACGTTTTACAGAATGGCATGGTAAAAATGGCACAGATATTTCGGCAAGGGGTGGCACGTTATATCACGTCATACAGAACAACATGCTCAGATGACACGTATATGTACATTGCACATGTGTTGGCTTGTGATACGTGTTGGCTCGTTTCGCGGAGAGCGAAAGATCAATAAATGATTTTTTTTTAAAAAGTGCAATATCTCATAATTTCACTGATAAAGTTGCTCTGAGTATCTTAACAAAAAAGATTTCTTACAAAAGTTTACTTCACATGCAGTTGGTTTCTTCGTATTATATTGATTACTAATATAAATTTTATGTTTTAACATGATTGTTATTTGTTATTGTGGTGGCATGTGAATTTATGTATCATTACCTGATCTTCCCTAGTATCGCCATAAAAAT